AAAAAAAAAAAAAAAAAAAAAAAAAAAAAAACACATCATAGTAAAACCAATACCTTCTCAGCTTCGCATCGAAGCTAAAAAACACATCATAGTAAAATTAAAAAACCCAGCACAGTGGGTTAACGGCACAGTGGGGTCGTGGCATAGTTGGGTCCAGTATAGATGATATCTGACAGTGATTAAAATCACTATCATAAAAAACGCTTCGATGCAAATCTGTAGATAGTGTTTAATTTAAAAAAAAAAATTTTGTTAAAAAACATATTTTTGAATACGGTAGCCATTTGCGCATAGAAGATAGGTCGTCGGGACAAATTTTTATTTTTTTTTATTTTATAGTACATGACATAAGCTTTAATTTGATACATGTTTAAAGGACGCAGTATTTCCAGAACATTTTCAAAAATTAAGTTGAAAAAGTTAGTTTTTGTGAAAAAATTACTATTTTAAATCCCCCCCGTGAGCAGAATAAGTGTTAGATTTTCAAAAAAAATTATATCAAATGAAAGGGAAATATCTAAGGTTTCAATACAAAAAAATATTATTTTTATTTGTTCATTTTTGAAAAAGTTATGGCAGTTTTAAGTACAAAAAACATCCCGATAAAACATCATTTTTATCGCAAACATTATATTTTTTTTTAATTTTCGACAGCCATTTGAACATAGAAGATAAGATGTCGGGAAAATTTTTTTTTTTCATTTGATAGTATATAACATAATTTTTGATTTGATATATGTTTAAAGGACGCAGTATTTCCGGAACATTTTCAAAAATTAAGTTGAAAAAGTTATTTTTTGTAAAAAAGTTACTATTTTAAATCCCCCCAGTGAGCAGAATAAGTGTTAGATTTTCAAAAAAAATTATATCAAATGAAAGGGAAATATCTAAGGTTTCAATACAAAAAAATATTATTTTTATTTGTTCATTTTTGAAAAAGTTATGGCAGTTTTAAGTACAAAAAACATCCCGATAAAATGTAATTTTTATCGCAAACATTACATTTTTTTTTAAATTTTCGACAGCCATTTGCACATAGAAGATAAGATGTCGGGACAAATTTTTTTTTTTCATTTGATAGTATATAACATAACCTTTGATTTGATATATGTTTAAAGGACGCAGTATTTCCGGAACATTTTCAAAAGTTCAGTTGAAAAAGATCTATGTTTTTTACAATATTTTAAGTTTTGAACGCCCCCTATATAAGGGGAAATTGTCCAATTTTAATAAAAAGTATGTCAAATGAAAGATGTACTTATAATGTATTTAGAAAAAAAAAATTTGTGCTGATATATACATTTTTCAAAAAGTTATAGCATTTTTAAGTTGAAAATTTAAAATCGAAAATCGAAAATTTTAACACAAAAATAGTGTTTTTTTAACTACGGCAGCCGTTTAAATGTAGAAAAAAAAGTGTCGGGACAAATTTTTTTTTTTCATTTTGTAGTACATAAAATAAGCTTTAATTTGATATATGTTTAAAGGACGCAGTATTTCCGGAACATTTTCAAAAATTAAGTTGAAAAAGTTAATTTTTGTAAAAAAGTTGCTATTTTAAATACCCCCCAATGAGCAGGTTAAGTGATAGATTTTCAAAATAATGATATCAAATAAAAGGTAAATATCTAAGGTTTTAGTATAAAAAAATTTTTTGTTGATTTGTTGATTTTTCAAAAAGTTATGGAAGTTTTAAGAAAAAAAAGTGAAAAAATTTCGAAAATTAGCGATTTTTAAATTTGTAATTTTTTTGGATATTTCCCCCATTTTCAGGGAACGGGGGGATTTTTTTCAATTTTTAAGGGTAATGTCTCCAACTAGATACGATTTGTGATCTTTTGACGTATATTTGAAAGAAATCGGTCCAGTGAGAGCTGAGAAAATGTGGCAACAGACATAAAAAAAAACATATCATAGTAAAATTAATACCTTCTCAGCTTCGCATCGAAGCTAAAATACATAGAATCTAAAATAAGTATCTACGATTAAACTTATTTTAAAATAAAATTACAATGCATTGTCTTAAAGTAATTAATATAATTATTACTTAAAAATTATGTCGGTCATTGATATTATAACAGAATTATCAATTTAAAAATCGGGTGATTTTAAAGTGTATTTCACAGCGGTCGTATTTCAACGTATTTACACGAATACACAAAACCACAAGGCGAGGCACATGCGCGTACTACGACAAAATGCGGACTGTACTCGAGCATACTTCTTATTCATTTTACTATGGTTTATTACGAACTGAACTATCAACATAGTCATTATCACCTATACACCCATACAGGTGGGTGATCAGTGTGACCACTGATACATAACACTTTGAAGAGTAAGACGAGGTGAGAAAAGTTCTTTTATTTAGATGTTTAAATAAGGAAATTTATATTCCACAACCTGCCCCTTATATGGATACATTATTTTTTACAACTTGTTGAAATTTACAATTTTGTAATAACTTAATAAACATTTCATAAAAAAATATTTAAGATACAATGTATGCTCAAATATTTAATAATAATGTATTACTTCTTTTATATTTTTGGTTTAGCTATTATTTTATGACATTATATAAATATTATTTATAGCGCTTGAAAAACAGGTTGATATTTATTATAATTTGTAGGGACCTAATAAATAAGAATTAATATTAAACTCTGAACTGGAGGATATTGAGATTTTTGCAGATGCTAGTCTCACAATGTCTGCCTGATATTTTATAGGCATTATATTGATAAGCATACCCTTTTTTCCTTTCATAACTTGAACCATGCAATTTTTTAATGCTCTTTTCTTTGTTTAAATTTCAAGTGCATTTGTATATATTCACGCTTCTAGATATTTTACAGATTACACGAAAATTCCTATAAATATTTTTTCTATTAAAATAAAGTTATCTTGTTAAAAATTAGCTTAATATTACATTTTGTTGTCTTCAAAAAATATAATCAAATATTCCATTGTTTTTTTAATTCTTATCATACCATACCAAATTTTTTAAACGTTAATTACTGATTTTTGTGAATTTAGATTTATATAATGAAACATACAAAGTTCTTCAGAATATTTACTTAACAAAATGTTTATATAAAAATTTTCAGCAATTATTTTACTAAGTTTAAACTTTATCACATAAATCGAAAATAATCATTAATGGTATCAGTTTATAATTTTATTCTTTTTTTTAAATTATAAAGTAAATGGAACATTTGAACAGATTTAAAATATATATTAAGAAAAACAATTGAAATTATCAGCATTCATTCATTACAAAAACTTATCACCACATAAATTCAAGGTAGAAAATAAAAACCCAAATATTTGGAAAGAAAATAGTTAATATAATGCGTTTATTTGATGTTGTTATTAAACAAATTAAACACAAAGTATATAGGCGTTGGCAGCTAATGCTTTCAGTTGGGCCAAATGGATTTTGTAGTCATAGATGCAGTAAATTGAGTTAAAAATTTTTTTTTTTTTTTAAGAAATATAAGGTTATAAAATTATAACTTACATAGAAATAGAGTTCAAAAGAGAAAAATTTCTTCAAAATGCAATACATTAACATAGTTAATAAAATAATGTTACTTATGAATTCATTTGAACAAAACTAAAAACAAATTTTAAAAAATTGTTGCAATTAAATAAAATATAAAAACAAAATTTTATCATGTTATAATATTGAGTAGCACACAACACAATTTTTTCCTGCGAAATTCTTTACGATGAAAACAAGGTTGCAACAGCCATTTGGATAGTATAAGAAGTTGGGATGGTGTCTGACACCTATGCCAACTTTCGTTTGACCTAACTGAAGGACGTGTATGCGCTACTGCTAGGCCTATTCATTTCTTCTTAGCTGCTTTTTCAGCAGCCTTTGTTACTTTACCGGCAGATAAATCTTTAAAGTTAACACTCTGAAAAACAAAAATTATAATTATAATACATTCAATAAAACATACTTATATTTTAAACACGACTTATTTTATATATTTCTATATTTGTACCTTAATAACACCAACAGCAACGGTTTGCCTCATGTCACGTACGGCAAAACGTCCCAAAGGAGGGAATTCTGAGAAAGCTTCAACGCACAATGGCTTTGAAGGTACTAAGGTGATGATAGCAGCATCTCCAGATTTGATGGCTTTTGGGTTAGCTTCAGTAGTTTTACCGGTACGACGGTCACATTTTTCTTTGATTTCAGCGAATTTGCAGGCAATGTGAGCAGTATGGCAATCCAAAACTGGAGTGTAACCATTTGAGATTTGACCAGGATGGTTCAATACAATGACTTGGGCTGTAAAGTCAGCAGCAGCCTTAGGTGGATTAGATTTAGTATCTCCAGCAACAAAACCACGACGCAATTCTTTAACTGATACATTCTTTACATTGAATCCAACATTGTCTCCAGGAACAGCTTCAGTAAGGGCTTCATGGTGCATTTCCACAGATTTTACTTCAGTAGTAATGTTGGCAGGTGCAAAGACAACAACCATACCAGGTTTCAATACACCAGTTTCAACACGACCAACAGGGACTGTTCCAATACCTCCTATCTTGTACACGTCTTGAAGTGGAAGACGAAGAGCCTTGTCAGTTGGACGACTTGGTGGTAGGATAGCATCTAAAGCTTCAATTAAACATTTACCGTCAGCCTTTCCTTCTTTACGCTCAACATTCCATCCCTTAAACCATGGCATTTTATCAGAAACTTCTAACATGTTATCACCATTCCATCCAGAGATAGGGACAAAAGCAACAGCAGCTGGGTTGTAACCAATTTTCTTAATATAACTGCTTACTTCCTTCTTGATTTCTTCAAAACGAGCCTAGAATTTAACAAAATAATGATAATAGCATATAATTTAACTAAAGCAAACTATAAATTAACTTACTTCACTGTATGGTGGTTCAGTGGAGTCCATTTTGTTTACACCAACAATCAACTGTTTCACACCCAGAGTGAAAGCCAATAAAGCATGTTCACGGGTTTGTCCATTCTTGGAAATACCAGCTTCAAATTCACCAGTACCAGCAGCAACAATAAGTACAGCACAATCAGCCTGAGATGTACCAGTAATCATGTTTTTGATGAAATCTCTGTGTCCAGGAGCATCAATAATGGTGACATAATATTTAGCAGTTTCGAATTTCCATAAAGCAATATCAATAGTAATACCACGTTCACGTTCAGCCTTCAATTTGTCCAATACCCAAGCATACTTGAAGGAACCTTTTCCCATCTAAAAAAAGTTTAGACCAATTAATAAAACATTTGATTATAAATCCTATAAAAATAATTTAAAACTCACTTCTTGGGCTTCCTTTTCGAATTTTTCAATGGTACGCTTGTCAATCCCACCACATTTGTAGATCAAATGACCAGTGGTTGTGGATTTACCGGAGTCGACATGTCCAATGACAACAATGTTGATATGTACCTTTTCTTTACCCATGGTTGATTTGCTTTAAATTAAATGAAATTAATTAATAATTTAAGATTAATAAAAATATTTTAATTTAAACTTGTCATTTAGATAACAATAACCAAAAATTAAGAGTTGGTTAAGACCCTTATTGTTACACTAATAATTAATAAAATTAAAAAAATAAATCAATAAATTTAATAACTGGAACTAAATTAAGATAATTGAGGTTATTGGACTATTATATAAGAGCTACATAATTTGGCAAGACAAAGATTAAGTTTCGAACGGTATCATAATCTACAAATAAAATACATGTGTCATTGGCATTGATGCCAACTCAATGACCGGGGAGGTGATTATACACCTACTCAACAGTCCATGAATAATAAAAAAAAAAAAAGCCGTTCAAATACGTGTCACGGAACACGTGACAAAATTTCTGTAAGTTTTATTTAAAACCATAACAATGATTCTCTTGATATATTTTATACAAATTAAAGTGATACTACTTAACAATAATTGCATAATATTGCCACATAGACAAGAACATACTTACGGAAATATTTTACAACTTAAAAGGAGGCTAGAGATTCTGATTGTTCGAGATGTAAATTATGACTATTTAAGTATCATAGAAATATTAAAAATATAAAGGATTCGCAATTGCACATTAAATTATTCTTATGCACACCCACAAGTTTACATATTTTTCATATACAACTCTAAAATTTATAATTAATGACCAAAATAAGAATTCCTAAGTAAAGTAGAAACAAACGATTAAAGAATTTCACAAAGCAAATAGCAATTAAAGTAATACAAGCAATAAATTATAAATTATAGTATAAGTCGTGATGTTTTAAGTAAATTTAATTTGAAGCCGATAAAATTACCAGTATTAAGGAACACTAAGGAAAATTGAATATAATATACATTGTCAAATAATTTTACTTACCGTTTGGTTACAAAAGACAATTATAAAAACAGATTAAAACGGATGAAAATTTTCACACACTGTTTAGCCGACACGGGCGGTGTATAAAATGTATCGTCAAAGAGCGGCACGATCGAACGACAGCACGGCAGAGACGTAAAGAGACCGATATGCCGGGACAGACCGGACAAGAGTGGTGGTCAAATAAAAACATGGCGGTCGGTTCGCCGGTATCAACTATTAATTTTCTAATAAATTTAATAAATAAAACGTTTAAAACTCAAATAATAATAATTAAAATGAAATAATAATTTTTTATTTTAGAAAATTGAAACATAAACATCTTATTTGTAAAATGTTAGGTTTTTTTTTTCAATTTAAAGTATTGACAGTAATAGGTTTGAGATTAATTAGACGTCTAGTTTTAAGGTTGGTGGCACTGAGGTTATTGCCAACATACTGGACACGTCAACCCGAAGTATGTCTACAGAAATTCTGATGACTCCGTATCGGTTTGATTTGTCATGCTTATTATTTTTGTTTCATAGTAACTCTACTTTAAAGGACTTTATAATCTGCTGTCCATTAAATGGTTTTCCTAATAACCTTATAATTACTCCTTATTCCATATGTCCAATTTTTAACCATACACACGTGAATGCTGTGTCATTTTACAAAGTCTTTGGTTTAATTACCAATACCACTACATTTAAATACTTATCAATACCCACTATAAATCAAATATCATTTAGAAAAGTTTTTGACAGCCACTAAAACACAGTTAAAAAAAGTGAACACTCAACCAAATTATCCATGAGAAACTAGAATTTTTAAATTTCTCCTTATTAAGTGAGCTCAAATTTTTGTCACCTACATCATAGTAAAGTTAAAAAAATAATTAATTCCAATTTAACTTTCGAAAGTTACCCAAAAAATCATCCACTATAATAAACTTGGTATTTACAATGGTTTATAAAAAACAATCAAATTTTATTCTACACATTATAAAAAAAATCATTTAACAAAAAATTAGTTGTAATATACTTAATAAATCTGTATATTATAAAAAATCTATTAAATGCTTATGTATTATCCAGTATTTATGGAAAAGTATAAAAAGTTTTTGCCAAAAAATATGTTTAAATGCTAAAGGAATACTTTATTATATTTAACCCTATATTTTTCAATAATTGTGATTTATTTAATAATAATAACAATACTACAAAACACACAACATATTAAATGTTCTTAACATTATTTGCTTGAACAATTTTTTTTATGGTTAGTAGAAAAATATGTTAGAAACTTAATAAACAATATTTATAAAATTGAAATATAAATTTATTGCTAAAATATTAAATATCAATAGTATGCATTTAGGGATATCACATTTTTGGAACACATTTAAATAAAATATTATAATGTAATAAAATATAGAATAAAATAACTCATATAATACAATTGAGAATCTACAAAGTAGATAATACTTAATGGTATAAAGTAAAAACTCAAATCACATAACAAATTTCAATACCTCAATATCGAGAATGAAAATTATATAAAACACATGAAATAATCATAATATGTTTAACAGGTCTATAATGATTACTATGTTTTGCAAAAAATGTACATAAAACAATACTTTAATTAATAATGTATCACTATTCATTACTATGCATTTATAAGATATATCAATTAATTTGATGTCCCTTGTGTCCATGTGAATAAATTTGACCAACTTGAACCCTGATCAACCATAGCTCCTGTAATTAGTAATTTTTCTATTAAATTAAACAATTTAATAAAACATTATTCATATTTATTACTCATAAATGCATCAAAAGTTAAATCAAGTAAAACATTTTTTGATTATATTATGTTTAAGAAAAATAAAATAGATTATTGTTATAGATATACCTTTAGCAATAGTTTCAATCTGTTTTTGTTCATCAGGGCTCAGTTTAAGTAATTTGTTAATAACTGGAACTAGATGACATTTTTCAACACCATTTGATGTTATGAACTATATAAAAAAAAAAAAAAAAAAGGATAAACAAAATGTTCATTACTCCTAATTGGAATGTTTACTTTAAAGATTATATTTTTTAAATATTCCATATTTTTTATTTCATCATGTCTATCCACACTTCGCTGTAATCTTCTAATATCTTCTTTTAAGAACTTGTTTTGTTGTTCATAACGAGAACAATTTTTTTCAGCATCATTTAACATTATTGTTAGCTGTTTAAGTTGTTTTTGAGTGTTATTTAATTCACTTAAAGCATCCCCAACTAAATAATAATAGTAACACAGTATTATAATTATTTTTATCTTAACATATAGTTATAAATTAAGGATAAGGCACTCATTTTCTTAAAAACTATTGAATATTTTCAATTTTTGTACAATAAAATGTTATTTGTTTTAAAAAACTCTTCAATAATGTGTAGTTAGACCATTTTTTTCTCATCCCTTTTGGAATTTAATTCTAAATTTTTATACTTTTAAATGGGATACTCTATTTTTAGTTTGATTTTCATAATATTGTAGACAACAATAATCTGTTTCAATGGGTCATCAATTAATATCAGTATTTAGTTTTGTTAACGTAAGTGACATATGACAATAAGAATTGTTAATAAAAACTTATTTATGTGACAACATAAAGAAATGACAACTACTGTATGCTAAACAGCGAATCACAATAGAAAATTGGTAATAAATTACTAAATTTAACTTGCAATAATAGAAGAACTGTTTATCAAATAAAAAATATTATAAGAACAAAATTGTTTGAAATATTTTTTGCTATCATTAAACTAAAAATAGGAGTTTCAATTAAATAAAATTAATACATTTTAACCCTGAAAGGATAAAAAAAAAATTATAAAACTACATAATATCGTAGAATTTTTTAATTCAAACAAATTTTTCCTTTCTGAAAATTTTAAGTAAAGGTTCCAATTTTTACCAAATCTATTTTAAATCAAATCTTTAAAGAATAGGAAATATCCAATTAATTTTAAGCAAAGTATTGAAAAAATTAAATAAGGGATTCCAAAATAAAAGAATCAACATCTCATATTTTTGAGACAATATTATTGAGATAAAGTTATTGAATTATGTCATTGAAATTATACAAACAATTTCATAATATACATTATCTTCTTATCATATTTGGCTTTTAACCAGTCAATATAAGAATAAAATATAAAAAATAAAATTATTTTTTTTAGTTTTATTAGATTATCAGATTCCATTTTTTAAGCACTCCATCATATTTCAAAATCATTGCACATAATTCTGATAAAATAAAGAATTTACTAACCACTATTATTATCAAATATTAATAAATCTTCTAAAGGCATCAGTCCACTTTTATTTAATTTTTTTAATGATTCATTTGAACTTTCAAACTGAGAACACTATAAAAAAATAAAATAAATTATTGTATTATCTACAACTGTATTTCTATTAACTCACAACTTCATCATCTTGAATATGAACTAGAGAATTTGTTTTTTTTAGTTTTGTATCACAAGGCTCAGAAAATTCAATATCAGGTTTGGAGTTAATATTTTTTGTTTCCTTGACTCTCATAATTTCTTGCTGTAGTATTTCAACATCATTTTCAAACTTTATTTTATCATTCACAATTTTATCCTAGGATTAAATATAATTAAATATTAGTTAAAATTATTTGAAATGTCTCTATATATAATCTAGTATGTATAATAGATATATTTTGCATACATTTAATATTTTAATTTCATTTTCTAATTTAGATTTAATATTTTCAGTTTCTATATTTAAATGGTATAATGCTTTGTCTTTTTTGCCCAGTATTTTTGTTACACTATTTAGTCGTTTTTCATATTTTTCAACTTCATTTTTCATTGTGACAACTTCAACATTCTTAGTGTTTAATTCTGTCCTATAAAGTTTATTTATTTAATATCTATTTAATGTTTGACAAATATTTTACTTATCTAGTCTACACAGTTCTAAAATTCTTAGAGTAAAATGAAGTTGAGACACTTACGTAACAATTTGTAAATTAATTTTATACTGCTGCAAAACTTTAGTAACTTCTTGAAGTTGAGTGGTAAGTTCATCAATTTTAACATTATAAACGGTATCTTGTTTATGTTTTTGAAACACACTGTGAGCTCTAACTTTATATGCTTCAAACTCATCTATTAAACCTTGGTTTTCTTTTGTGTACTTAGTTATAGAAACTTTTGCTGCATTCAATTCAGTTTGAAGTCTTCGAATCTATTTTAAGTTTATTAAAGTTATTATTTGAATAAACTGTAATAGTTAACATAAACAATAATAATTAAAATAAAATAGAATAAATCCTTTATATTCCACTAGAAAAATCAGAGATAAACTAATTAGTTCAATGAAAACTATTAAAGTTTATACAAAAATGACCAAGAGTTGGTTGATTTTAACAATTAACCTAAATATCAGTACAGTTAAAATATATTCAAAATTTTACATATTTTATTATATACAATTATTTCCCTATTAAATTAGACTTACATTGTATTTTTAAAAAGTATTTTATTTTTTTACATAAACATTAATACCTTGTCATTGAGAAATATTTGTTGAGATTGATAATTTTCTTTTTCAGTATCGTACTCCAATTTTAATTTGTTATATTTTTCTTCAATAATATTATTAAGAATTCTTTCTTGGTCTAAGTTTGATTGAATTTCTATTAAAAAATTTTCTTTTTCATTCAACAATGATTCTGCATTGTTCAGGCCTTTTCTACATAATTCCATTTGTTGCTAAAATAATTTATTTATTAGAATATAAGTTTATAATTAAATAATCTTTTAAGTTTTAATCTAATTTTTTAATTAATGTCAAGAAAATAGTTTTTAATTTTATGAATCAATAAATACTTGAAAATGTTCAGAAAAGATTAGCCTAACATGGAATACTTTAATGTGACTTGTTATTTAGAAGATTTAATTAAAATAATGTTAGTAAAACTTAACACTATATCATAATATTTATATTTTTTTATGCACGTATTTCTGTATTCAAGGGGGTAAATTTAGTTATAACTAGACATTTTAATTGGCTTTTTTTTAAGTAATAGAGTATTTTTAGTTTATATACCCAAATAATATTATTATTCAATTAAACATTTTTTTTTAAATCTCTAAGATACATTTTAAAACTATTTTTCACAAATCTGGAATACTATCAATTAACAAATCATGCATATAAGAAAATGAAAATATCAACTAAAATAATTTTGTTTTAGAAAAATTTAGAATTTGTAAACTAAATAAATTCAAAATTATGAAGGTCTTATTAATAATTTATTTAACATTTTTTAATATAATTACTATAAACTTATCAGCTTCTTTTTTTTAAAGATTAATAGATTTTGATAAAAAATAAGACTTATTCAGAGTCAAAGTTTTGTCACTTTTACAATTTATATTATTACTTATAGTTCGCAAAAAAAAATTAATTTAATTTTTTTTTCTTTTTAACATAATCTTGGTAAGATTATTAAATCAAAAATCAAGTCAAAAATAATCCAAAGAAAATTGATTTTCAATTTACAATAAAGAAACATAAATATAGTACATAAATATAGTACATTATAATCTTATTTTTGCAAATTTTGGAATTTGTGACTTAAAAAATGTTTGAATGTGTTTTTCTCAAATGCATTGTATAATAATATAATTTAATATTACTGTTTTGTTTTACAACCATAAAGCCTTTTCTAATCATAACAGTAATATTTTAAATTGTAGCAACATAATAACAAATTAATTATCACAAAAATTTGAAACATATTTATATTTACAGCAATTTTTTGGTTTCTTTCTTGTTCAGTTGAAATAGTATGTTCTAAATGTTTTATTTGCTCATGTAGTGAATCAATAACATTATTAGAGTTACTGATCTCTTGCTCAAGATTTTGGTTATGAAGATTTTCTTCTTTGATTTTTTCAGACAATTCATCAATTGTCTTCTAAAAAAAATATTTTATTTAAAAAAAAATTAATTTTATAATGTAAATATTACTTCATAAGAATTTAGCTCAAGATCACGAATATTAATTTTTTTTTTTTCTGATTTCAAGGAAGTTATTTCAGACTCCAATAATTTTATTTTATCATTAGAGTCTTTCAATTTTTTTGATAGCTCTTTTATAAATGTTTCTCTGTCAACTCTCATTATGTCACCAGCAGATTTTTCTTGTTTTAATTTTTCAAGTTTAGATACAAGTAATTTGTCATTTTCTTTTAAACTGCAAACAAACAAGTGTATAATAATGTATATGGAATCTATAAAATATAGTATAAGCTTTTAATAAGAAATAATTACTTTTTTAATGATTTATTTGTAATAACTAAATCATTTTTTAACTTTTCAATTTCAATATTCAAGCTTGAACATAATTTTGTTTGGTCCAAAAGTAATTTTTTTTCTTGATTTAATTGTTTTACTAAATTTTTAGTTTCTTTACATTTTTCATCATACTCATCACATTTAATATCATATTGTTGTTGTAAACACTAATATAATAAATAATATAAGGCATATTTATATAATTGAATCCATATATATATATATATACGGTATCCCAACAATATTTATTTATTTTTTGAACAATTTATATATTCCTAAAAAATGTTAATGAAGAAAAGGAACAAAATATATGTTTAAATTTGCAAATAAATAAAAAATTAAAAAAAAATAATTTAATTAGTAAATTTAAATGTAATTATATATTTTTTTTAACAATAAACATACTCGAGCTATTTTTCCTTGTTCAGCTAAAGATGTGATTTTTGCTACAAGTTCAGATTTTTCATTGTTATGCTTTTTGACTTTACTATCCAATGATTGTTTAAGATCAAATATTATTTTTTTTTGTTTAATCACAACTGCTTTTAACTAAAAATTAAAAATTCATAAAAGTTCTAATGAAATTTTATCAACAAATTTTTGTAAACTAACTTTTTGTAGTCGTTCATCTTTGCTATTATCAATTTCTTCTAATATTTGTACTTCATCAGCTCTAGATATAGAAATTGTACTTGATTCATCTAAATGATTAAATATACTCAATTAATGTTTTTTAGTAACAATTTATCTCTTACATTTTTAGTATGTATACTAAATATATTCATTAATATATTTATAATATCTATTTAAAAATTGTAAATGCTTTGAAGACATTTTCAATTCCCCTAACACATAAATTTACATAAAATTTTAATGTGTATACTGGAAAAAAAAACTATTAGTGAATGTAATATCAAGTAAAGTATAAAGTATAAAGTTATTAGTGATAAAATTTGATAGTCAGAGTATCACCAAAAAACTAACTATACTTGGAGTTACAAACGAAAAGAAATATTTTGAATAGAGTTTTGCCTTTATAAAATAAAATACACTAATAAATAATTGATGATGTATCAAGAAAAGTAGTATTACAGATAACCATCATACACTAGGTCAGTTTTTTAAAATAAAGTTTAAGAAGCTAATATTTGTTCTTTTTATTACTTTAAAGATTAAAATTATAATTTTTTTCTAATAAGATTCATTTCATAACATATTTTTTTCTATTAATTCAAATAATTATTGCAAAAAATTATAGAATTAAATTTGAAGAGTTATTGACATAATTTTAATTTCATCCAGATAAAAATTCTCTTTCTATTTCAATAGCTTTGATTATGTATTTAATTATTATTTTTTTATTATATAAATTAATTTTAAATAAAACTTTATCATCCTTAAGTTGTTTTCATTATACTTTAAAACCAAAATTTAAAAATAAAATATTATCATTCTCTTCATTTTTTCCTTTAAATTATTTAATTATAAGGAAGATTTCAAATACAAATTATTTGGATTTCTTATACTGTTTTAACAATAAATATTATCTATCTTGTTCATTTTCTTTTAAAACTTATAGAGAGATTATGAAATTAATTTTTTCTTTTATAAAGAAAAATATAGACATACTTACACAAATTTTCTCTGTAAATTTTCAACTCTATCTCATTTTCATCAAAAACTAAACTTTTTTCATTCAACCTTTCTTTTAATTTTTTTAATTCTTCATTTAAATTAACTATGATATTATTTTTTTCCACAATTTCAATTTTAAGTTTTTTGTTTAACTTATCTAAATTTTCAATGTATATATTTTTTTTAATATATAAATCTTCTATATTCTTAACATTTTCCATCAAAAAAATTTCACATTCACATATAAGTTGCTTTTGTCTGGGCAATAACTCAGTCTTGATTTCTTTAATATACCCAAAATTTTTTTCTAGATCATTAAATGCATTCTTCAAATACTTAATATTTTTAAATTCTGATTGTTTTAATATACTACATTTATTAGCTTGATCAATAATATTACAATTAATCAATGAACCTTGTTTTAATAATGTATCAATTTCTTTAATTAACAATGAAATTTGTTTTTCTTTTGACATAATTACATTTTTGTATGTATTAATTGTTTCTAAATGAGACTGTTTACAAGATTTAAGCTCTAATAATGATTCATTTAAAATATCAAAAATTTCATTTATAAGCGGACCAATAACAGAGGCTAATTTATTATCATCCTTGTCTTTTATAACATATCTTTCAAAAATTTCATCTAAAAATTTTAGGCAACTAGAAAAATTGGTAAGTAAACTATTTATTTGAGTTGTTAAGTTTGAGTTCATTGTACTCAATTCAGAATAATCATTGCTTATTTTTATGATTCTATCATAGTTTATAGAATTTTCTTGTTGTAATTTATTAACAGTAGATTTAAGCTCATTTTCACTACATTGAGTTTTTTGTAAACTTTGTACATACATAGTACATTTATTTTCATAAGATTCTAATTGTCTAGTTACAGACAGTAACTCCATTGAAATTTTTTCATTTTCTAGTTTTAATAATTCTGTTTCACTTTTGTTATATTCAATTTCAGCAACTTTTTCTTTTAATTCATCAACATATTTAGTTTGTTTATCGAATGCTTTTTCTTTTTTTTCACAATGATTTTCAAGCATTATATTTTTCTCTAACAATTCATTACATTGATGTCTGAGCTTTTTTAAAGTTACTTCTAGATATTCATTTTCTTTAGCTAGTTTAGAATTTCTATTTTCTAATGAAATTTCTTTTTCTGCTTTAGAATTTATTTGTTCTTCAAGTTGTTTTATTTTTTCTTCAGCACAAATTTTAAAAGCTTTTTCATTGTCTAAGTTTTTTTTCATTGCTTCTAATGCTGTTTTATAACTATGGAGTTTTTTTTTCAGAGCATCTACTTCATCAGATTTTTCAACAATATGTTGATTATTTAATTTTTTAATAATTTTTTGTTGTTCATTTATTAATAAATCAGCTTCACATAGAAGTTTATTTTTTTCAAGAATTTCCTATACAACATATTTTATTAAATTTTATATTAAATAAAAATTACAATCTAAAAAATTAATATTTTTACTTGTCTTTCTGATTGTTCAAAAATATGTTGTTGATCATGAAATTTTTGTTCCCATATTTTTTCTTGATTATGTAATTCTTAAACAAATGTATTTTATAACTGAATTTATATGTATACACATTTATTTGTTAACTTACCATCATTCTCTTTCTTAAGTGAAAAAATTTCATTTCGATATCTGTTTAAAATATCTTCTTTGGACTGATTTTCTAAATCCTAAAACCCAAAAGAAGTGTGTAATATTAATAAATTTAGTAATGAGAAGATAAAAAAAAAATTCATAAATGATTTTTTACATTGATGAAAAAAAAATACCACTTACAGAATCATTAATTGTAGAGTTATGAACTTCCATCACTGAACGATTTCTTTGCATAAACGATTAAATATAAAATTAATATCATTAAAATATGTAAACTAAATTCACTACTTAAAAATTTTACTAGATTTTTTTTGTTTTATCTAATTCCATCATTTAGTATTATTATACATGATAATAATAATGATAAATGATACTAGTTTCCAAGACGTTATCAAATTAAACAATAAAAATTCATGTAACTCCTCCTTGGAAATATCAATGGTGATAATATTTAAGGCTGTTATCTATTTTATTTTCATTAATTTTTACTCGAATTCAATTAGTTTTTTTTTTTAACTATTCCTAATATTTTATGAAATCATGATTTTTATGATGAATATTTTTCAAAGATGTAAAACTATAATTAATTATCAATCGCCCATCAATGAAATGTGTGTAAGTATAACTATTATTAAAAACTTAAAACATGATTGATCAAAAAAATGTCTAATATTATTTAAGGTAATTATTGGAATGAACTAAATTATGTCTCATGTATTAATGTTATTTTTCTTGTTTATTGTAAATATTTTTAAACTTTATGTGTGTATTATTTTTTAGATGGGTATACTACCCCAAAGTCAACAAATCAGAAATAAGTGGCCTGATCACAGAATGATCAAAGATGCACGTAAAAGAAATACTATCAAAGATTATGGTGTTTATAAATTGAGGTATAATGCTATTCGTAAAAATGATATAATTCCTTCAGAAATTCAAGTAAGACATGCTAAGTTATTATAGTTAATGATATTTTATAGTAATAACAATTTTAGGACAAAGATAGATAGCATTTTATAAAAAATATATATTTTTAATAGTCATAAAAAAAATTTTCCCTTTAAAATTAATAATTTTTTTTACAAAATTTGGGTCATTTTGAAATAAAAATACTAAAATTGATGTTTTAAATAATTAAATTTTGCCCAAGACAAAAGTAAAGTAAAATAATTATGTTCTTTTCAAAAAACATAATTTTTGTTTTTTTCTGTTTGTCTTGATCACCAATTAGGTTGTATTGAAGTAGTAGTTTTTTAGCCTATCATTATAGGTCACTTGAGAACACATATTCCTGAAAATTGGTTGATCTTAAAGTGATGGTTAATACAACAATCTAAAGATGACAACATTATCTATCACATAAGTAAGAAATTTGATTAAAAAAAAATATAGGTATTCAAAACTGTAAAACTTTTAAATTAGTTTCTTAAAAATTGACCCACTTAGGAATGAATATAATTTTTAAATTTAGTATTTTGATTATGTCTATAACCTAATCCTACAGAATCAAATATCTCTCACGGCATGTTTTCTAATATTTTTAAAATTATTATTAAATATTATTTTAATTATATAATAATTATTATTATTGTGTCACTACAATGAGGCCATCTTATCTTGTTCACTCAGTAATTCATCATGTCTCAGTATATAGAAACCAGTATTTAATTCTGTTGTGCTAAACTGTGTACGAACCTCTAATCCTTTTTTTTCACGAGCAACTTGTAATTAGAATATAAAGAAGGAAATAGGAGATCATGTAGCTTTTGGAATAATCCATTTATTTTTTAAAATTAAACATTATCTACAGATTTGCATCAATGTGTTTATTGTGATAGTGATTTTAATTACTGCCAGCTATCATCTATACTGAATCCAACTATACCACGTCCCCATTGTGCTGGGTTTTTTTGACTCTTTAAACTTTTATAATAAGAAATTTTTGTGCATAAGTGTAGGGTAGAAAAAATGTTAAGGAAGCTTATCATTTTGTCATGACCAATGATAAAATAATTTCTACTATATTTAAGTTATTCTATAAGTAACTTCAATAATTTTTTTTTTAATTCGGTTTGATTGACTGGACATCTGGTAGATTAATAGTTAATGGCTTTTAAGTTTTTAAATATAAAATAAGAAAACAAAAAGAAGTATTTAGAATACATATTTTTTAATAATTCAGAATACTGTCAAAATGCAATATATATATATATATATTTGAGTATTTTCAGTCAAATATTTTACAAGACGCCCCTAATATATTTTTGGCTTAAGTACTCAAAAAAAATCTGGAATTAATAATATTTTCTATGAGAATAAAAATGAAAATATAGTTTCAATTTATTTCAAGAAATTGTTGATAATCAAAAACTAAATTTCAGGAAATAGCAGATAAAGAAATTTATAATTGCCCAAAAGATGCTAGCATAGTTAGAATTGTTCAACGTTGCCAAGTGACTTCTCGTCCAAGAGGTAATGTTAAACGATGGCGTTTAAGTCGAATTATATTTAGACATCTAGCAGATTATAACAAATTAGCTGGAGTTCAAAGAGCAATGTGGTAGTTCTTAATAGGTACATATATATATTTCTATTTAGGTGTTAATTTAACTTAAATAAGTATTTATTCACAATAATAATTTTTACAGGTGTTATCTGAAAAATATTGTGTAAAGAATTCATACAGTTGTTAATTGTTTTAATTATCAAAAATAATAAACTAAATAATATAAACATTAACATATGTGTTTTCTTTTTAATTTTAGTTTTTTAAGGATACAATTATATATATATATATGAGTATTTTTTTGTCATAACCCATTCAATTAATTACAGGACAATACTTTTTAAAACAGGATTAATTTTAGATAAATATTTATCTTGAATTATTAGCTATGTATTATTTCTTAAGTTCAAAACTTATGTAAAAAAGAAATCATATTTATAAAAAACCAATTTGCTACTGGTGAGTATAATCTCACCTGTATACTATAAATTTATTTTAACTCAAATATTTAAAACTTTAAAGTGTTACATCTAATAAAGGGATGATTTTATATTAAAAGTTCAAATGTCATATAGTATTAAAAATAACTTTAAAAACAATATTTTATTGAATTAAAAATATGTATTACTATTTCATAAAACAAAGTTGACACCATTACAAGGCCTTTAGGTATGAATTTATAAAGTTTAATTTTGAAGTACATATAATACACATTCAATTTACATTAAAATATTAGACTTTATGAAAAAAAATATGTGTCATTTATGTTAAATGTAATTTTTTCATGTTACTAGATATATTTTTATTATAAGTAAAGTAATTAAATATGAAAAAAAAGGAGAGCTGACTGCAAAACCTCATATACAAATGAATTAAAAGTATAAATAGTACATATATTACACAATGAAAATATTTTTAATTAATTGGGACATTGATGTTTTCTTAATATGTATAGGAAGTTAAATATACATCATTAAAATATTTAAAAATTATATTTTATTCTATTTTTTCTTTATTCAAAAAACCTAAACTTGTTTTGAGTTTTAAATTTGAAATTTTTTGAATATATTATAATAAAGGAAAAAAAGACTCATTACATATAGTTATTTTAAAATCTAATAGCAATATGTCATAAAATATAATGTAGATAATTCAAATATTATCATAGAAATGTTTACAAAGAAACAAAAACAATTTTAAAAATGTCAAAAGGGACATATAGAATTATAATGACCAAAAAAATAAAATTTGGTAGACTATTACATTATTTAAAAACTCATAATTTTTGTCATAAAACTCATCATTAATAAATCATTTATTTATTTAAATAAATAATCTGTTAAAAGGAAGCTAAAGAACATTATTCATCAGTGATACATTATTATTAGAATTTTCTAGTTAAGAGAGGACATGTCCAAAAAATAACTTTTCGTTTATTATTGATAAAGAACTCGATAAATATAACTAATTATAAAAATTAATTTTTAAAGAAAAAATATTTTGGATATACGTTTTCTTACAGCTCGAGGACTCATTTTACAGACACAAACTATTAAGTTTTTTCAAAAATAAAAAAATTATTGAATTGTGTAAGTGTAGTGATTGATTATTTAATCTAGATGTTTTAAAAAATATTACATTAAGATTAGTATTTTTTTAATGTTACATTCATCGACATAAATGATTATTGTGAAATGATGTATGTACGAATACTGTCAATAGTGCCTGAAACACTACTTGCAAAATTATCAAGAGTTTATTTTTTTATTAGTTTCTTTAGTAAAATACTAGTAATCTGACCAGAATAGTAATTATTTAACTTATGCTTTAAAATCCTTATTAATAAATAAATCAAGCAGATTTTTTGTTTAACAATTATAAAACAAAAAATCGCTAATAGGTTAACTAAATTTTACAATTTTAAGTAGTTATTTATCTATAGCTAGGTGCATTGTTTGTATTTTTTTCTTAATTTTTGTAAATGTGTTTGATCTTTTGCTTAATAGATAACCCAACCAATAAGATCACTTTATAATTACATAAAAAATACTTTTCTTAAGCTAATTTATTTTTTAATTAGGGACAATTAAATTTTACAAGAAATTACTATTAATATATTTAATAATAATATAGAGGTAAGTATATATTATGGTCAAATGTTATAGTCCACAAATAACACATTCTATTTTAAAATAGCACTTTGTAATAAAAATTATTACATATTTTATTAAATTATAAAATCAATTATACATATGCTTGATGAGAGGTTGGATCCTGTGAGATTTTCAAGAACCAGTTGTAGAAAGGTTCCTAAAATAAAAAATAAAGAGATTTAAGATTTATAATAGAGTAAATAATGACTAAATTATAGCAAATTTTTCTAAATAGTACTAATTATTAATCATCCATTTAAAAAAAAAAAAAATTTTGTTTGCTATAAGATAAACAATTTACTTTATTTTACATTTTTAGAGGAATATTATCCATTTATTGCTCTAATTTTACTAGATAGTCATAACTAGAATACAAATATTTGGGTGAGATAATTTTTAAAGATTTGTGAGTAGGATACATAATTGATGCACCTTTGAATTCCTTGGGCATGTCATATGAAATTGGATACGCCTATGCTTAGGGTTCTAAAAACTAATTTTTTTATTACATTAAATCATGTAGGCCTAAGTGAAGTAATTTAAACTGATAATAAAATTTGTATTGTTTAAAATGTAATTATCAACTTAAAAAACGTACACATAAGAATATGTGAAATTTAATCGAGAATGAAATAGATTTATAAAAATAAATAAAAAGGGGAACATACAAATTATATTTAGATATTTATTTTTTAAATTTAATAAGAGGTCAAAAAATGGGCTTTTTATGTCACAAATATTGAAAGGTGATAATGAGATATTGAATCTATAAAATTAATTACATAAATAATATATCACACCTAATTTCAGTACTTTTTAATAATGATTTATCAGACATTTAAAAAAAGGTGGATCAAATTGTCTAAAATAAAAACTATTATGCCAGTCGACAGTAAAAGTCTGTTTAGGTAATTTGACTTTAAACAAGAAGAGTATTATTGTCGTTGGTTAATCAGTCGTATTTAATAAGTACTACCAAAAAAGAGAGGGTAACAGAGTTACTCCCAACAGGAATGATAGTGTGTCAAGTACTAACTAGTTGCTATATTAGTAGTTTTGTCTGAGTACGTTGACCTAGAAAGTAGAAATGGCAGTCAGTACATGACTACTACGAAGATGGTTTGATATGTGCGTATAAAAATTGGTGATGGTAAATACGTAATGGAACAAGCGTTTGCTCTGGTTGGTCACCGGCCTTGGCAGTGCAAGTCGCAATCATTATCGAGGTCAATTAACAAGGCCAAGTGTGCTGGAGTAGGAGAAAGAAGATGCACAAAAAAAAAAATAGGCCAAATTATTCATTTCACTGAGAAATAGATAACTTAAGAAATTTGTTAACTCTTATCAATGGGTAACTTTATTGTTATATATGATATATTGTTAATTAAAAAAAATGTGTATAATTGATTTTATTTATTTATTTATTAAGATTTGGAAACATGGGCGTCCATGAAAGGAAAAAGATCACATGATTTTTTGCTTTGTCAATTTTTATCATCATGTTTTTAAAAAAATTCACAAATAGAATTTTTTTTTAAATTAAAATAAAAAATATTTATTTTTATTTAACATAATTATGATTTTCAGCGTTAAAAACGTTCCTCTTACAGAATTATGATAAATGTACTTAAAATTACATCTCAATAGAAATGAATGCTACCAAATGTAAAAATTTATATCAAAGAAAATATTATGTAATTTTCCTATATTTCTAGAGACTAATAGAGCACTCCGACTGTTGTAGCTTAGCTGGGATGAGTTTAGTGAAGAGGTGTAATCTAACGCTGGTCCTGACTTAAAGGACAGCAAAACCAAATATTAAAAAAAAAGTTGTTGTCCCCCACGACTAATATCTGCAGATGCTCTTGTTTGAGAGTTTAAAAATAAAACTAAGTGTTATAGATGCTTATTACTTTATTTGGGAAAGGTATAGAAAAATATAAAACATTTAAAAAAATATATTTAATGATTTGAGCAGTTTTTTTGTAAATAACAATCTAATTGTATTACTGTTTCTCCAATATACTAGTATACAAATAAACGATATTATTATAAATGATAATATTGAAAAGAAATACTCAATCTAATAGACATAAAGATTTATTTTTAATTCGGTATAAGAATACCCAATAATTATTACGTCATAGACTCAAATTCTTAAAATCTTATTTTAAAAATTAAAACGAGTATAATGTTAAATAATTCATGATACTGATAATTCATATACTTATAAAATACAAGAAGTGTATACAGTATACAGTAATTTTAATAGTTATTATCGAAACTTCAAAACTATCACTATTAACATTATCTCAACAATGAGCTGGTTAATTTAGTATATTTGTCTATGGGTTAATTATTACAGGGTTGAAACAATACAAATATTTTGTACTTCAAAACTGTAGTAACACTGTACCAACCAGATGATTTGATCATAAATTTGCTAATTTGTTAGTATGTCTAAGGATTTAATAAATAAATTAATACACTTAAATATTTGTAAAATAAAATGTTATTTATGTTAAATGTCATTTAGTGTCTATGTGTCAACATTTTGGAGACTTTTTACACGACATTTTCTTTTATTTTGAATTAAAGTCATAAGGTAAGATATTTTTAATATTAAATATTTAATCATTAAGTAAAACTATTATATTTTAAAATAACAAATATTACAGTTATTATTAGTGTGATAACAACTTAAATTATATGATTTACTACAAGACTTCGTGTACAAAAAATGTTCTAATTTACTTTTTATGTGAAATTTAAAGAATTTATCGTAACAATTTATCCTTTAATAGTTTACATTGAAATGTGTTAAATTCTTACATTTTGACTGTTCTACCACTAAAAACTTACAAAACCAATTGAAATATTTTTACAGCTTGGAAACTTAGACTTATAAGTAGTATATTTTTTTACTGTTTACTGGAAAGACAGAAAAGAATTCTTTTGCAAAAAAACACTTTCCATAGACAACCTAAAATAAAGTTAAAATAGTCCTATCTTTTATGTCAAATTGAGTGCTGCATGTGTGATATTTTGACATTTGAAAAAAGATAAAATGTTCATTTTTA